GTCAGATCCTAATGAAAATAAGTCAGCGGTGGGTGTTTAACAGTTGTGCTGTGATACTCGGAAGCCTATTGGGAAGGTACAGAAATGTCTGACTGTGTGTGTGTGTGTGAGTGACAGAGATAGATAGATAATGTGTGTGTGTGTCAGTCAGAGAGAGAGAGAGAGAGAGAGAGGGTGTAAGTTTGTATGTGTCTTTCTCTGTAAGCGTTTGTGTGAGTGTGTTTCTGTAAGAGAGTGTGTCTGTAAAAGTGTGTGTGCGTGCGCGTGTGTCTCTGTCGGAGAGTGTGTCTGTATAAGAGTATGGCTGTGAGTGTGTGTGTGTGTGTGTGTGTGTAAGAGTGTGTGTGTCTATGAGTGCGTGTGCATAAGAGAATGTGTGTGTGTGTGTGTGTGTGTGTGTGTGTGTGTGTGTGTGTGTGCGCGAGAGACCCGAATGTGTGTGTGTGTGTGTCTGTGAGTGAGAGATCCACTAAATAAATAATTGAATCTATAATTTATAATTTTAATATCTGCCACTTCTGTGTCTGGTTCCCAGAATGTCCTCATGTGTGTCTGATCTCAAGGAGAAGTGTGTGTTCTGGCAGACCTCAGATCTGCAGGCGTTCCTGCACTCCTCCCCGTGGACACCAGGGGTCGCTGTCGTCACGCACACTCACACTCACACACACAGCCTCTTCCACGCCCCTGAGGACGAGTTCTTGCGTGTGTTACGGGCCGCGAGGACCGTCGCGCTCCTGCTGTGTGAGAGACTGTGTGTTCAGCGCTGTGCTCTGGTCCACACGCCGCAGAACCGAACCGAGCTCCACCTCTTCCCCCTTCACGGCCTCGAGTCCCGCTGGAAAGCTCACCTCGCCCCGGACGAGGACTTCCAAGCGTTCGATCCCGGGTACATCAGTTCCAGAAGCGGGCCGCGCTGGACCGACTCCGATCTGGAGACGGTTAAGAATCGCATCCGTGTTCATCTTCCCGAACCGAACGCGCCTCTAAACTACACCTTTCTCGGCGAAGCCTCCGACTCCGGGTTGTTCCCGCGCATCATCCGCGGAGAAGAAAAGCACTGGCGAGTATGGGAAGACGACGAACATGTTGCGTTCCTCACGCCGTTTCCCAACACACCTGGACTGACTGTTCTGGTTCCCCGTAAACCGTTATCCAGTGATATCTTCCGATTGGAGGAGAGCGAGTACATTCGGATGGTGCTCGCGGCTCGGAAGGTGTCCCGGCTCCTGGAGGCGGGGCTTGGGTCCTGGGGGGTGGGGCTTATTTTCGAGGGCTTTGAGATTGATTACGCTCACGCTAAACTGATTCCACTCGTGTCCTCGCCTGACGAGGCACAGGTGAGCCCGACTTGTCCCGCTCCCGAGTTTTTCAAACGCTATCCGGGATACGTGACGTCGGTTAGCGGTCCGCCGGCCAGCAGGGAGAGTCTTCAAGAGATCTGGGCCAGAATTACCCAGCGCTGATCATAGACTGTAAAAAAAGATGGACGGCGGCCCTTCACTCTCTTCCATTGGTGAAAAGTGAAGCCGGGAAAGTCCTCATATGGCGCTCACTTTTCAAGACTTGTGGCCAAATATAATTTGTCACAGAATTTTTTTTGTATTACTAATTTTTCCAACCTTATACACACAATTGTGAGGCTTTTATTTAAGTGCTCATCATCTGGTGCTCTTATAAAAAAGATATTTTGAACAGAATGGTTCGAAACTTGGTAAAGGTTTTGACGCTTTCTGTGTGAACACACATTAAAAAAAAGTCGTGGACATTAAAAAACTAAAAAATAGTATCATACTTACAAACTCATATGAACGCATTGTAAATGAATGGAGAGTTTCCTCTAGTGGAAGCGTTGGGTACTGCAGCCACACACACACGCTCACTGAACGCTCGTTTACTGAGAGATCAACCTCAGATTCGGGACACAGCTTGATTAGATTTATGGCTTTGATTATCTTGAAGTTTAGAGTAAAATGTGATTTTGAAAATATATATATTTCATACAAAAAATTAAAATAGTATTTTTGTGCATTTTTCACAACAATACAACAACGTTTTTAACCCGGCGAGTACCCGACCATTACAGTTATGTTTTAAGCCCGAACCCAAGGTGCGTTTTTCACAGTAAATACCTTTTTTTGTTGCAATATATTGTATTTTAGAATAAAAAAATACATGTACAAACACTGTTTCCCCATGGCTCATCGCCCCCTTACGAACTTAGGCTACTAATTACGAAACTTTGATGTGGTTGAACAGGTGAAATGATCACAAATTCCTCTGGAATTTAAACATTAAACTTCAAAACAAAGTTTGCATAGTTGCACAACTATTCACAGGCTATTCATTAAACATTAACCCGACCCGAAACCGGGAGTTTTTCAGGACCGCAGACCTCGTGCCGTCGACATTCTTCAAAGTTTATGTTGGACATTTAATTTTTAGGTCTATGCTCAAAAAGTGAATAAATGTGTTATAAATACAATTTAGCATAAAAAATCCCCTTAAAACACAAAATATTAAGAACTTACAAAATAAAATTTAGTACGTTTCATTGACAAAAACATTTCTTTCATACATGGCTGCGTGTCAATGTTTGCTTCACAGTTTTCACTGTTCAAATGAAGATAAATCCGTCTCTTGTTATTCTGATATTTCAGCACATGGCTGCTATAGTTCAGAAAGGAAGATTAAACAAACACATACGTGAGTATATTGTTAAACATGTTCCTTTATGAATCACACATCAAGCTAATATTGATATTTCATGCCCTAATGTAACCATCTAGCCAGAGATCAATGACACACAAGCTCATATGAGCATCTACTGTAAATGTTTTTCATGTTAATTAATCTCGTAGCATCATCTAGTTACACAATTACAAGCTCGTACCATCTGTGTCACCTCAGCCCGTTCCTAATTAATCCCTAGGTATTTTAATTAACATCTTAATTAGTGGTGCGTTAAGTTCTTAATTATTCACCGGGACACTTGGTCTCTTATCTGTGAGAAATAAAAGAATCTGACGAAAACCCAAAACAGTGACGAGAAGAAAGAGACGTTCAGCTCTGTTGACTGTAGCTTCATCTTCTCAGAGTCTAACGATCAATCAGAAAAGAGTGACGAGGAATGAAACGTTATGAATGAGCTGCACAGAAAGAGGCAAACAGGGTCACATCTGGGGAAACACCACACACACGACACTCAAGAAGTCAACATGTTAATTAAATCAGTGGCTTTTGCTAAAATCAGAGTCAAGATTTTACATCATCAACACAATGCAGAGCTTTACAATAGTAACAAGCAAACATTGAAATGCATTAATTAATATTATATAAAGCGGACCCTTAATAGGCCTTATATGAACTGCGTTGAAAAGTGGTTTAATGAAAATTCAGACAGTGTGTGCTGAGCTCAAAGAGTTTAATGTATTTAATGTCATCTGGGGTGTGTTTTCTTTGTCTTGATGTTTCGTTCATGGTGTTTGAGGATGAGCCCACCTGGTAGCTAACATAAAAATACACCAAAATAGTGTGGAGTTTGATGCACACAGTCTTTGACATCAACAGCACTATAGGAAGAGTTTTCTGCTCCCTTTGTAAAGTTAACCAGTCTATTTATTCTGCCGTCACATTGGTCATATATGGTTCGTTTTATTGTATTGTATCTGACCCGGCTGCGTTTACACTGGCACAAAATATCCAATCTTTTACTCACGTCTGACACAGATCGGAGTTTTAAACACAACGTCTTCATATCCAACACACATATCCAATTCCCAATTGATTTAAAAGCCACTACAAGACGAGGACGACACCTTTATACACAAAGATAGTTTTATAATGTTGTATTATGAGGCGTGCGTGTGTGCGTGTGCGCTCGCTCACAGCTTTATATTGCGGTGGGAACTTTACATTTATCTTTGTAAAGAAAAGAAATTGCACGAACAGAGAAACATTCAGGATCTGGTTTTCAACATTTATTAATAAAACAGCTTAGCTACTGAAAGCTATGTTATATTTCTCAGCAATGACGTGATAACGTTAATTATATCAACAAACTTCACTATTTTACTCTCTCGATCGCACGCCCTCTCGCTCTCTCTTGCTCTGGTTAACTCATCAAAAAAAATGTGTGTGTGTATATATATATATATATATATATATATATATATATATTACAGAGCTACTTTATTTCACTTCAGAATTCTAGATCTAAACTAGATAAACGAAAATTAATTACGAACTATATATCTGTTCCGTCGGATTTTGCGCCGCAAAACATTCATGAGTCATGACAGCTGGTATCTTGTCCATACTGGCTAGACTGATCTCATGAAATGGCGAATTTATGACACGCTAATTCCTATTTCTATTTTTGGCGTGATATCAACACGCATAATTGCTTTTCGGCATGTTTATGAACGCCGTTGTCTTAACGTTACATTACTGTATAAATATATGACCTACCCCAACCCCGTCCCTAAACCTACCCATCACTGGGGTTAATAGCATTTATGAGTCTTCCCCTATAGGAAACAAAATATCGCTCCCCAGATGTAGATCTACATTTTGCTTTGTTTCGCTCGGACATTTATCGGCGTAGACATACACGCGGATAGCTCAAAATGCGTATAGATAACACGCCACTTGACTTGAACGTGGCGTGTATGTTTACGCATAAGTCATGATGTCATGTTGATGCTGGCAAATAATCATGAATAATGTAAATAATTTTAATATCATGACCATTCAAAAGTAAAACGATGACCGAAAATCATTTTGGGCGGGAATTAATGCAAACGCAGATATCGGATTCCAGTTCTGTGTAAAGTGAGTGTAAACAATCGGGCCAAAAAATTGGATATGTCCAAAAGATCGGATCTGTGCTTTAAGACTTGTAGAGTAAATGCAGCCATTGTTTATTTTCGGCCCCATTACAACAGACTTGAGGGCTTGTTTTGGCTCAAAACCCACCAGTTGAGAACCACTGAGACACATATATATCGTTCATGCTACGTTTCAGACGCTAACGTCGATGGGTTTCTTGGAGGGACTCTCGAGGCAGGGACAGAACTGGGATCGCTCCATCTTCGAGAGGTAGAGCAAAGGCTCAACAGTGCAGCTCAAGTCCATGATGGAGAACACGGCGAGGGCAATCTTACACCGAAACGTCACGAACGAGTAGGTGGAGGCAAACGGCAGCAGAGCGACGGGAGGGAGATAGTTCACCACGATGATGGCGAGGACGATAGTCACCATTTTGAAGGCTCTCTTCTTCGTCGGGTTCATGATTTCTTTCCCTGCCACGCTTTTCCTGAGGACCAAGATGATGGACAGGTTGCAGAACACCATGAGGAAGAAGGCGGCGAGGATGACTCCGCTGAAGACTTCGTTCACACTCAAGACGCCCAAAAAGCATTTGGTCAACGAGTAGGCCAGGATGAGTCCCCAAACCACCACGGAGACGGCGATTCGGATGCGATTATCACGGATCCCGGTGAATAAAATGGGATGGACCACGGCGACGTACCTGTCCAGACAAATACAGGTGAGAAATAACGGAGTCACGTCTTTCAGCCCGTAGGCGAAGCGCACAGAGTACCAAATCGTTTCATCGCTGAAGTGCAGTCGGTTGGCAATGTCCACCGGCGTCATGAGGCCGAAATATGCGTCCAGGACCGAGAGGTTTAAAATAAAGATGTCAGACGTCGATCCCTCGCTCTTCTTCTTCAGAATCTGCCACATCACAAGGATGTTTAATGGCACGCCTGCAACCAGGTTTAATACTTTAACACCGAAGTAGAAGATAAACCAGTGAGGAGCCTCGGCACACGCCTCGAACAGGTACCACAGCGGACGCTGCCACCCAGAGGCGGTGGAGTTCAGGTTTAAACTTGTTATGTTTTCCATGAGGAATGAAGATTAGCTGTGGATTGGAGCGTCGGTTCTACGAGAGCGACTGCAAAACAAAGTGACGATCTTTCCAAGGGTTGTTTATGAGCACCTCATCATAAAATCAAGTTAAATAATTGCACAGAAATCTCCCCCACTACAGTTCCGTTCGATTGTCGGTTTCTCCCGATGTTTCTCTGACCATCACTTGACTTAGACGCGCGCTCAGTTTAGCGTCTCTCTCGGGGCGCTCCATTAAATGCTTCTCCCGAGGGAGACAGAGGTGGGACGTTTTGGGCGAGACCAATTGTTGCGGGTCTTTTGGGTCAACAAGAAGGTGTGTAGCAGAAGATCTCGTCTGTGATTGGATGACAAATAGGGTCTGGCGGATAAGTTCGTGATGAAGTCTGCAGTTCGATGGAAGGGGATGATCAGAGTTTTGTGATGTAACTGCAGAGCTTTATGTCAACAAGTGATGCAAGGAACAAATGAGTAAATCTACTGTAACATCTTGCAAATACTTGTTTCTGGCTCTCTGCCCCCGAGTCCACTGCGGTGGGGAACGATAAAGCTTACGACTGATTTCAGTTTACCAAAACACAGTTTCATTTCAGTGAACTCAACTAAAACAGAGTTTCAACTAACGTCAAATTTAGTTTGAATGCTTTTGTGTCGATTAACTTTTACGTTCTCATTTATCACACTTTAGGGTTGAATATCAGTTTAGTAATTGGTGCAAATGTTTAATGACTGACAACAGTGAGCTTCTTTCACATTTCATTTCATTCAGATGCTGTGTGATCATGCATTTGAATTTTTAATGCATGCATGTCACTCGCTCAGAATTAATTTGAATGAATGGGATTTTAGTAAACCTCTTGTTGGTTTCCACTCCTTTGTGTTACATAACATTTATGCATTTGGCAGACCCTTATTATTACATGTTCAATTTAAATTTTTTCCTGAGCCAAAACCAACATGAGTGGAGTATGGGATCTAATAGATCTTTTTCTCTTTTGTATTCAAGAACTTTTTTCTTTCCTACAGGGCTGTGTCAAACCTGTTTGCTCAAATGAAGATAAATCCGTCTCTCTTGTTATTCTGATATTTCAGAGTATTCACTCATGGCTTCTATTCAGAACAGAAGAATGAATAAACAGACAGGTAAGTACATCATTTTTGGAGTTCTTTTATGCATAATAAATACAACAAATTTATTTTATTTCTTGTCCTTATTGCGCTGGTCAATAAAACAATCTCTAGTAGCCAGAGATCAATGACAACACAAGCTCATATGAGCATCTACTGTAAATGTTTTTCATGTTTATTAATCTCGTAGCATCATCTAGTTACACAATTACAAGCTCGTACCATCTGTGTCACCTCAGCCTGTTCCTAATTAATCCCTAGGTATTTTAATTAACATCTTAATTAGTGGTGCGTTAAGTTCTTAATTATTCACCGGGACACTTGGTCTCTTATCTGTGAGAAATAAAAGAATCTGACGAAAACTCAAAACAGTGACGAGAAGAAAGAGACGTTCAGCTCTGTTGACTGTAGCTTCATCTTCTCAGAGTCTAACGATCAATCAGAAAAGAGTGACGAGGAATGAAACGTTATGAATGAGCTGCACAGAAAGAGGCAAACAGGGTCACATCTGGGGGAACACCACACACACGACACTCAGACAGCTGGCACACACTCATGAAGTCAACATGTTAATGATAAGCAGTTAATTACATAAGTGGCAGGTTTTGCTAAAACCAAATCCAAACCATCAAATTCAAACCATTATACATAAACCCAAACCCTAGAGTCATACATCACAGTACTAAAATTAAACACTAAAATGCACTGACATTATATGAGTAGACTCTGAAAAGGCCAAGATATGGCGCTTTTCCATTACCAGTACCGCCTCGACTTGGCTCGCTTTTTGCGCCATTTTCCATTGCAGACCGTACCGCCACAAATAGTACCCGGTCGTCATAGCGACGCCTTTCGTTCCTCGCTGCCTTATCAAGCTCTTGCTGGATCCTCTCTTCGGCAACCAAACAAAGGAAAGTCTGCACCTCCTCGTTTGACCATGGCGTATTCTTCCGAGTTGCCATAATAATAATAGTAGTAAGTTTCGAAACTGGCCTATCTCTGGCCAAACTATTTAAAAATGGCGGGGATATTCTGGATCCTCCATCTGGCGCGTGCAATGATGACGCAGTAAATGGTGACGATTCTCTCTGACCAATCAGCAGTCGGCATTGTTTTCACGTCGCTTTTTAGTACCGGCTTAGCTCGCTCAGAACCTCGCCGGAGGTGATACTAAAAAGAGTATCCGAAAGCAGTCGAGTCAAGCTGGTAGTGTGTAGCGGAAAAGCGCCAATAGATTCAAAATTATTAACATGACTGAAACCAGGGGTGTCCAATCCTGGAGGACCACTGTCCTGCTAAGTTAAGCTCCAACCCCAATTAAACACACCTGAACCAGCTAATCAAGGTCTTTCCTGGCATACTAGAAACTTCCAAGTGTGTTGAGGAAAGTTAAACTCTACAGGACAGTGACTCTCGAGGACAGAGTTTGACTGAAACCAAAAAGATAATAGAAGTGGTTTCAAGTGTGTTCATATTTTATTGACTCTGTGTAGTTTTGCTTACCTTGTCCATGTAAAAATAAATCTTAATTTAATTAGATATATTTGTGCTGAAATACTGTGGAGTTTGAAGGAAACAACCTTTGACATTAGTGGCTAAAGATATAGATCTTCTCTGTCCTTTATAAAGGTCTATCTATTTTGCTTAGTTTTGCTTCATTAGATGCATTTAATGTTTTGTTTTTCCGAACTTTAAGTGACTAATCACGACAGACCTGTTGAGAATTAGACAAATACACGGTCTAGAATCACACACAGACGGTGGTTCGTTTCAGACGCTAACGTTGACGGGTTTCTTGGAGGGACTCTCGAGGCAGGGACAGAACTGGGATCGCTCCATCTTCGAGATGTAGAGCAAAGGCTCGATGGTGCAGCTCAAGTCCATGATGGAGAACACGGCGAGAAGAACCTTGCAGTGGAGCGTCTTGAACGAGTAGGTGGAGGCAAACGGCAGCAGAGCGACGGGAGGGAGATAGTTCACCACGATGATGGCGAGGACGATAGTCACCATTTTGAAGGCTCTCTTCTTCGTCGGGTTCATGATTTCTTTCCCTGCCACGCTTTTCCTGAGGACCCAGATGATGGACAGGTTGCAGAACACCATGAGGAAGAAGGCGGCGAGGATGACTCCGCTGAAGACTTCGTTCACACTCAAGACGCCTAAAAAGCATTTAGTGAACGAGTAGGCCAGGATGAGTCCCCAAACCACCACGGAGACGGCGATTCGGATGCGATTATCACGGATCCCGGTGAATAAAATGGGATGGACCACAGCGACGTACCTGTCCAGACAAATACAGGTGAGAAATAACGGAGTCACGTCTTTCAGCCCGTAGGCGAAGCGTTGGGAATACCAGATCTTGGGATCGTTGAGGTACAGTCGGTTGACCATGTCCACCGGCGTCATGAGGCCGAAATATGCGTCCAGGACCGAGAGGTTGAAAATAAAGATGTCAGACGTCGATCCTTCGCTCTTCTTCTTCAGAATCTGCCACATCACAAGTGCGTTCATTGGGAATCCTGCAACCAGGTTTAATACTTTGACACTAAAGTAGAAGATAAACCAGTGAGGAGCCACGGCACAGGAATCGTACTGGTACCAGAGCGGACGGCGCCACCCGGAGGCGGAGGAGTTCAGGTTCAAAGTTGAGATGTTTTCCATGAGGAATGATGATGAAATAAGCTGTGAACGAGAACCAGTGTTATATCTACATGAATTCAAGATCAGCCATGATACTTTAAAACCAAAAACCATTTCTAACAATGATTTAAAAAGTCTGTTTCTAAATTAATGGGGTCGTAACACAAGGAAACTTTTTAAGTGGTTTGTGCAAAGTTTAAAAAAAAAAACATTGGAGAAGATTGTTGCAGCCATTAATGGCCATGGCTCTACTAGGTTTGTCTATAAAGTTTTAATTCAAGATGTCTATTCTACCATCTTGACCTGTAATTGGCATTGAGATATTGTCAACATAATTATGACTCATTATATTCTTTCAAGATATCTACAGTGCTAGTCATATACTTCTATTGACTTGCATTGGAAAATATTGTCTGATATCTCATTGGATTCTCATTAGTAAAATTATAATTTGAGAGATCTTAAATGTCACTGGTCAAGCAATGATATCTTTAGTTCCTCATTAAGTTATCCGAAAGTAAGACTTGTACATATCTTGTGCAACATTTGCCATAATGGAAGTGTTTCAAGCACTCTCACTGAGAAGCACACGGATCTTCTGCTGTAATGCAACACTGCCAGCTTGTGGACAGTTACATTAATATGCAACTATTGACCTGCACTAACACACAAGCGACACTAATGGATGTCTTTACTTATTATTCTAATACCAGTTATAGGCCTACTTGAAGACATGTATCATTTGACTGACTGCTTGAATCTGAAGCATTGAACCTGTCCGTCGCACATTTATTTGTTTTGTTTTACGTTTTTGATGCGTAATTCAGTGTTTCTTCAGGCTCTGAAATCACAGCTTACTAGATAGATGGCATACCGAAGACATTTTACCAGATATGAATGCATCCATCTATTATTTAATAATTCTTAATCCAGTAGCGGTATCCGTGTTAGTTTTTATCGCTATGTAACCGGATGGATCTGCGTAAATTGGGCGGAGCTAACACTTTTTGGCGGCAGATGCAGAGCCAATGGGCGGAGCTAGACAGTCCAACCAACGGTCCTAACCAGACGTGACGCGACAAACGACTCGACGGCTAGAAGAGCAACATATGAAGTATGGCAATGATATATAAAAATCTGACATTATCAAGTCATATGAACAAGTTGGTTTGAATGTGATTGAATTCCAGAGCGTGGCTTCAAATGTGTTTATAAAACTTAGCTTTTGGTAAGTCGTGCCTTATTCAGCTTTGTTTTGTAACCTGGGTGGAGTTCACTTTCTACTCAAATGTGACTGATTTACTGAAATGGATAAATTTTGGATAGATTATCTTGATAGACAAAACGTGTTAGGGTCACAACTCTTTGTTGAACACAGATCTTATTTTTGCGATTTTCCAAAAATCTATGAGGAAAAATGCATAGCTTTTCGATCAAGGGAACCTATGCGACGCTAACGTCATCACTTCGGCACTCTATAGGCGGACTCCTTTGTGGAATAAATAACAGATATATTTTATGTAGGAACAGGTCGCTATTCTATGAGGAATGGTTAAGTAGGAATATTCTGTAATGATGAGAATGGTAATATCTTGGATTACAATGCCTACACTCTAAAACACGGATTTGCCTGTCATTCAAAACAGTTATTATTAATGCAATACCCTCTGGTATCAAATTTTTAATGAAGTGTTCCTTATCATAGGCTACTCAAAAATTATGGCAGTCCTCATTATCATTCAATCTTGCTACCCCAGTCAAATTTTAAGAAATAAGTTAGATAATACATTAGATAAAGAGACTGTAAAATCTTTTAGAACAGTTTATTTAAGATTTCCTCTTCCCCCCAAAGCAGAAACACACTTTAAAGGAACACGCCAAATTTTTCGGACTTTAGCTTATTCACTCACATTTGAGCTTGTGATTTGTACACACTGTGACTATACAAATCACAATATATGAAAATGTTGGCGTTATTTTGTCTCTTACTCAAGGCCCCGCCTCCCCCTCAAAGCCCCGCCTACCTTTATTTGTTATCATTTTGATGATTATGGCTTACAGTTATGAAAACCTTTGGTATTTTTATAAGCTGTAAGCCATAATCATCAAAATTATAACAATTAAAGGCATGAAATATCTCACTTTGCATGTAATGAGTCTATACAATATATTAGTTTCACCTTTTACGTTGAATTACTGAAATAAATTAACATCCCGAGAGAAGGAACTGCATGTCAAGCTCTACCCATTACGTCATTTGTCTCTGCAGTGAGAAAATGAGTATCAGTCTATGAAAGCCATGGAATGAAATAATTAAAAAGCTTAATGCAAGTTTATATCACAATTCTGACTTTTATCTTGCAATTCCGAGTTCATATCTCACAATTCTGATATTTATCACATTTATCTGATTCATAGAAGAAAATTCAGAATTGCGAGATATAAACATAATTTCTGATATAAACTCGCAATTATGAGTTATAAAGTCCGGACTGGGAGATAAAAATGTTATCATGCCTCCTATGAACTGCATATTGTAGATCTATTGTTTACATCGAATTCATGCTTTAATATTAGACCAATTCTGTGTTTGCGTCATGTCGTAATTACTGTACTTTCGAGATGATAATGCGACGTTGATATGACCTTGTCGGAGTGGGATTTATGCATTTCTATGGCAAACAGGAGCTCTCAGAAAATTCCCAGCTCTACGAGAACGTCAATGCTTTTTAGTTGAAATCTTGTAAAATGAGTATTTATGGAAATCAGTCTAGCCTGTCCGTTTAATGGCTTCGGTACGAGATATAATTTTGTCATTTTGACGAGTCAAAATATAATTAGAGACACAACTACCGCATAACGCGTCAATTGACGATATCTGTTCAAACGTATACAGATATCTCTAATTCTAACTAGTCAAATATGACTCTTCAAAATAAAAGTGTCACTGTGTAAAATAGTCCCCAGTAATTCGGAACAACATCTGTTCGCGTCGCGTCGTCGTTTTGTAAATGATTGTTTGCAAGAAACCATGGATTAGACGAACTCTAGTGCGGTTCATATGAATGTGTGTAAACGCTGCCATCCGAACCAAACAAGCGGACCGAGAGCTGAAAAGATCGTTCTCGATCCGCTTCCAAATAAACTCTGGTGGGTTTCGACTGAAATATGAACGCAATACGGACCAAAGACGTGAACGAACCAAACACAAGAAGATGAAAAGCACAGAATGCTTAAGCACGCCTGTTTCTCATTATAGTCGCGATGTTGGCCATCACAGTTCAGTACAGGCGTCAGAAGCACCGCGCGTTATAAGCTCTTCACTAGTTTTAGCTGGTCAGAATACCATCATATGTAGCTACGCACACACAACGAGCGCATTAATCCCGCATTAAACACAGCGTTATTCTGGTTGTTCAGTCTCGAAATATATGTGATAAAAGCAGACCAATCGGGTTGTGAGAATATCCATCCTACCTTTAGGTTCGGTGTTCAAATGCCAATGTAAACCGAACTAACAACAGAACCGTTTTTTATTTTACATTTTATTTATCTAAAGAAGCTTTTTCCACTAAAATAAACCTTTCTTTATGCCAATAAACCTTTGTTTTTAAGAGTGCGCTACTGTAAATCTAACATTTAAAATATTGTCAGTATGAGTTCTAGAAGCTTTACCTTTAGCGTTCAGGTAGATCTCATCAATATAGCTTTGTCCTGTTGTCTCATGTTGTGCCTAATATTTACTCTACAATTTCTCCCCAGCACAGAGAAGCTTCCACAGAGACTGAATGCAGAAGCAATCGTGCATATGATGCATTAAAAACACCAACTCTATGAGGACACATACCGTTACTCACACAATCCGCTGATCTTCTCTCCTATGCAGGGACAGTAGCCAATCAGAACAGCAGAAGGTAAAACCCAGAGTTTCTGTCAGAGAAAAAACGGGTCGGTTTTGCAAATAATAAGTTGTTTTTTTGTTGGTGCAAAACTTGACCAAAATCATACCTGAACCTAATACTGTCATGACCCCTTTAAATGATGATAAATATGATAACTCACAGTACGGAGGCGTCCTGCTGCGATCCACGTCTCTGCCCGAGTCTCTCTGACCACCAGCGACTCGACCTGTCCTTAGTTCAGTGTCTCTCTCACGGGACTTTTGGACACAACCAATTGCTGCGACTCTTTTGGGTCAACAAGTCTGCAATTGGCTGGAAAAGTTTTGTGATAAAGTCTCTGCACGATCAAAGTTTTGTGATGTAACTGCAGAGCTTCATGTCAACAAGTGATGCAAGGAACAAATGAGTAAATCTACTGTAACATCTTGCAAATGCTCATTTCTGGCTCTCTGCCACGAGTCCACAGCGGTGGGGAAACATAATATGAGCTTATTGTACACATTTCAGTTTACCAAAACACTTTCTATACAGTGAACTTTTCTCAAGTAAAGGTCCATCACAAGAAATGGTCATTTATGCAAACCACCCAAATTTCAGAAAGGTTTTAGGTGTGATGTATGCAGTGGTTTTTATAGAAGGAAACGATATATTTCAAGCTTCAGTGTTATTTGTTCTTCAGACGATATCAGCTGTTTGAAAAGTGACCCACATTTTGGATTTTGACCAGTGAAAATGGGTACAATTTTGAATATGGAGCCACATTGTGATCTCCATATCTCTGGAAATAAACCATATTGGGTCTTAAAAAGTAAGACAGCAAAAGAAAAGTTTATTAAGAATCAGAATCGTAAAGGATATTTAGATATCTTTAATAGTTCTTGAGTTACAAGCATGCAAACTTTGGAAAAAGAACATTTATGGCACTCAGACAGGTATGTTCTATACACACTCTAAAATATGCTGGGTTGTTTTAACCCAATTTTGGGTCAAATATGGACAAACCCAGCTGTTACATTTTTAAATAACATTTATTTTTAATCCAATGTTTGGGTTTGTCCATATTTGACCTAAAATTGAGTTTAAACAACCCAGAATTTTTTTGTGTAATTGTGTTGATAAAAAAAAAAACAAGATATATTTGTAGTTCTTCAGATATTCTTCTTTAAAAGAAAAAATAAGCATCAGTTGTATGTAATGTGACACATTTGGTTTTTGAGCACTGAAATTAGTACAATTTACTCATGGAGCCGCATTGAGATCTCCATATCTCTGCAAATAAACCATATTGGGTCTTAAAAATTAGGACATCAAAAGCAAAGTTTATTAAGAATCAGAATCTAAAAGAATATTAAGATGTCTTTAATAGTCCTTGAGTTACAGACATGCAAACTTCATGCAAAATAAGCTTTTCCTATTTTTTGAACCCTTGCCGTTGGCTTATATAATGCAACAAATATTACAATCTCTGTGTAAAAATAAAATATTGATGCTGTCGTGTTTCTGAAGTCATTTTCACCCCCCAGTAATTTGGCTCTAAATCTTATGTGAAATGAAATCTGTCATTTCGATCCCTTTATTAAAATAGTAAATTTCTCGGTAAATATAAAGCGATTACATTCATTATTTTGGCTTTCTTCTTCATTTATGTATTTCTTTCATGAATGACCCAAAAGCATGTATGCATACATTTATCTAAAGTCATGAATTATTGAATGAAGCATTTTTTTTAACTCAAAACGGGGGTAAAGTGGGCCGGTGATGGTGAGATGTGTGCCTCCAAATGCAGGGATTACTATTACAAATTCATTTACATAAATGTAATTGTAACTGTTACAAACGTTGAACTTACATATAGATTGTCTGATTATTAAACCAAGGCGCACGTACGCAGCAGAACAACACACTGTGTATCAGTAAATGGTTTTTCTAACAGATGGTAACTTTTAAATGAAAATCCGTCTTGTATTGCGCAAAAGAAAACAAAGTTCAGAAGTTGAATGAACATGGCCTTGAAACGGCATTCGAGACTTTTTGATGGTGGATGGGTGTCATTGCACCACGTGGCCGCTAGATGTCGGGAAAACGCCGCAAGAGCGACTCGCTTTTCGGCGGCTTCATTTTTCCACTGCGAATCCAGCAGGAACATACTGTACCGCATATGAATCATATAATAAAAGGCTAATTATATATATGCGCTTTGATTATCAATCTCCCTGTATCTACACACATAAGGACAGATTGTGTTTACAGCTAATTCACCCTTTCAGTTCCAGCCGATCTGCTACTTAGTTGCAGATCTGTATTTCTCCATTCGTTTTTCATACGGAGCATTCATTATTGGCTCGTCACATTGTTGACGTATCCCGGTCGCAGCATTGTGGGTTTATTTGAGAATAATCGCTGATACAATGTGGATAGTCATATATAATGCGTATAGTCGGATGTGATCTTGCGTTCGGTTCCAAGTTAAACACTAAAACATCTTCGTGCTCAAACAGGGAAAACGGGAAACTGCAGCAAGAATAAAGCAACGCGAGCGCGAGGAAACCGGAGAGGAGGGGCGCGCGTTTCCTCTCCGCAGCAAGAATCCATTGAGAGAGAGAGGGAGAGAGAGAGAGAGAGAGAGCGAGAGAGGGAGAAGAAAGGAAAAGCAGCAGCTCCACGCCACTCCTTTGTTTTAGGAAATCGCTTGAATATCGCTCGAAGGACTGGAATGATGCATCGCGTTTCTCTCGCGTTTTCCCGCGACGCCTGTTTTTAAAGGCGAACTTCATGCTTTTGCGTTTAATTTAAGTGGCATCGACAGAAGAGCGTTGAAGATCTGAAACCTTCAGACTCATTAAGCGTTTCCTCCGCGTTGACCGTCCATGTGTGTTAGACTCGTTTTTTGCACCGTTTTCAGTTTCTCACCAGAGGATATTCTACGCGTTCTGAAGCTCGGAGGTGTTTCTGCTCGTGGTTCGAGTCTGTTATTCGCGTCCAGGCCCGAAATACTCGCTCCTCTTCAAAGGCCTTTAATGCGGCACGCGCGCGTCAGTCTGTAACGGGTTTTAACGCGTCAGATGAGCGTCAGTTCTGATCCGTAAAGCGCCGCTGATCCTCTGCCAGAACATCTCGTTCTTCGTTACTCTTCATACGCAACATCTGCGGCCCTCTTCAATGTTAATGTCGACCGACGTCGCATCTGTAATGCTGCCCGTGAGCCGCGGGATCCTGGAGCGCGAGCGGGACCTGGACTCGGGTTCTGCGGGGGTTCGGGGGATGAAGCGCGGGGACCCGGAGCCCGAGGGCATCGCGGCGGCGGGGGATTCGGTCGGGGCTGAGTGCAAACGACCGCGGATGGACGGAACCGGAGAGCTCGGACAGGTAAGCGTTAAAATCACGATTCTGAGCTGTGGTGAAAGAGACGCGTTTGTGTTTATGTAAGAATATACACTGTGAAAAATGCTGGCTTGTTTTAACGTTCCCCATTAGGTCAAATATGGACAAAACCAACCGTTGGGTTTGTATTTAACATTTTAAATCCAACGGTTTGTTTTGTCAATATGGCCCAAACAAATAAACGGCCAAATCCAACCGTTTGGTTTTACAGTTAAAATTTTAAACCCAACGGTTGGTTTTATTTTTTAAACCCAACGGTTGGTTTTATTTTTAAACCCAACGGTTGGTTTTGTCCAAATAACCTAGCATTGTTAGAGTCTAGGCTCATATGGTTCTGTGATATTATACTGTTATATGAGATGAAAACAAAGAGTGATGATTGGGGCACCAAAGGTGAAATTTTAAGGATCAGCCACTGTGATCCTGAGGGACTCTACTCTATCATTGTGTGCAGTGCTTATGATCCTCAGTGCAGTAGATGTTCCTGAATCATGGAGTTGATCTCCCAGTCTCATCTGAGGCCTTTGCTCCATCTCTCTCTCCATCCTGCGGTACTTTTCCATCCTCTCACACGAGCACTTCTGCTCCATTCCTCAGACTGCATGCATGTAGACATGATCTCATCTCTCCATTATCCATCTATCCAACCCTTTCACTCTTTCTTTCTTTCTTCCTTCCCGTTCATTCTTTCTGTTTCTCCGGTAAGTGATCTAAAGTGCTGCATGTCCTAATGGCTCATTCTCACTGGCTAATGGCTCACAGTTTCTCTGAACTGCACCATGACGGGATTAAGACTGAGCAGATGTGTGTATGTGAATGTGTGTGTGTGTGTGTGAGCTTGCCCGTGTAGCCCAAAAAAGGTATTGATCCTGCTCTGAGAGTGTGTCTGGAAATTTGCCTGCAGCGAGTCAGGAATGAAGTGGGGGTGCAGGAATCAAACCATTCGGTAACAAGAGACGCGCATTTATGAAAAGCAAGAGATGCAGGAAATTAAAGGAGTGAGACGTCTATAAACACAGCTCTTTCATCCACCCTTCTAAAAACACATTTCAAGTGAAATATGAGCACAGTTTGGGAAAATCCTGGAAGAATTTCCCTCATTTCTGTTTTTCTAGTTCAGTCTGTGCTGTGCTTTCCTTTAGAAGTTGTTGTTTGTGAATGAAATCTGTGAAAGTCATTGGTTAAAAGGTTTAGGAACGTCATTGTTGCATTCGTGGTTCCCCACGCTCTGATATTAAAGTCACATCAGTTTACTGCAGCCACACACACACGAACACATGCATGCATCAGAAGAGGATTTGCTGTATCACTAACAGTAAAGAGGCTTTTTGTTGTGCTAAAGAGATCTGTAGTTGTTTCAGAGTGGCATTAGTCTCTGATCTCCCATTTATCCTGACGCGGGCTGCTGGGGGGGTTAATACACACACACACACACACACACACACACACACACACTGATTAGAGATTTGCAGATAAGCCTTTGCTTTTTTTCTACATCATGCACAGAGCTGCATTTATTGCATATCCTCAGGATTCTGCCGTACACGGGCTCATCACACACACTCACATCATGGCTGTAACGTGCCCTACTTAGCCCACGTCTCCAGTAATTACCCTTATGGGATTGCACACATGTGTTACCATGGCAACTTTGAACTTTGACCCCACGAGCGGAGCAGTAAAGTCGGGGTGTGGTGTTGATGGGATTGCGACAGACAATAGAAGCACATGCGTCTGATTTCCACCCGGTTCTGCGCTCATGGAGTCAAGAAAGTGTTTTTGCGTGTCCGCATCTGCTGAGGTCAGGGGTCGCGGTTTAGTCTGTGCATCGCGTCTATCTCTCTATGATATTGGTGTATGATCATCTTTGCTGGTTTTGATGTTTGATGAAGTACACAAATACCCCGTTTCAAGTGCATGGTCTTCAACACTCAATAGTTTACTTCAAATGTCTGTGCAAAGATCTCTACTAATGTAAAATCTTCAAAAAGTATTTACAGGACTGTATATATAAAGGCCATATATACATACACACAAGTAGATAAAGGACCATATATGAATATATAAGTAGATGAAGGACCAGGGTTGGACTGGGACAAAAAATCGACCGGGGTGTTTTGGCCCACTACATATGATCATAAACACAGCTGAACTTTGCACACCCTTGATTATGTATACCAACTCCTATTAAAACCATTAATGCCATGCAATAAGTGAATAGGAGTTGAGTAAGAGTTAACAAATGAAATAACTACTATGTTGAACTATACTCCAAACAAGCCATACGCTGCATTGGGATAGCAATACCAATTTTTTTCCCAGAGGATTTTGGGAAATCTGTGGTGAGTGCAGCTCTGTCCCTCTAGGGGGGTTCGAGGTTTGGTATTCTCCCCAAATTTTGTGTTTTTTCATTCATAAATCTGGTGTACTTTAAGAGTAATGAAGATCTCCAACCCATATTCAGTGTGCAAATTGAACAAAGAAAAACTCTTTTAGTTCGTGCCTGTCTACATTACACTACATTATAGTTATAATATTAATCCCATGACAGTAATAGCCATATGTTGTAAAGCAAATGCACTGAAAAATAAAAGCAACTTTCATAATTAGTTTCGTACTAATTGAAAGAGATAAGCTCATGATCTTTTACTTTGATCTTTTTTAGTTGGCGAAAAACATGTTTTTCAAACTCGTCTCATTACAATATGAATAAAATGCGTAATCGTCAAATATGCAGATGTGGAAATAATGCGTAACTGGCTAGTGGGTTCCTGCAGAAACGCAAGGAATGTGCCGAGAAAAAAGGAAAACCTTTTAAAGGCCGTCGAAGTGTCTGATGAGGAGATATGAGAGAGTGCAGAGGACTGTGGTAATAGAGCTAGGCTACTTTCACAACACTTCGCTCGGATTATTTGGACAGATACACACTGACACTGCTCACTCAGAGCTCAGGGGGGGGAGGTGTTTAAAGATGTGATTGGACCAGCCCGGTGTCAATCAAGAAAATAACCAATGGGCCGCTGATCTACGCGTCTCATGTGCCGGTCCGTGAGAGAGAGAAAACCTACGCAGTGTCCAATGCTTTACACCGCCAATTAAGCTAAACTAAACGCAATGGGCCGCCGGTGTGCGAGTTTTATAAGCCGTTAAAAATAAATAAAAAAATAAATTAAGTATTGTTTGGCCAGTCCTGCCTTGTGAAGGACTTCATCTACTTGTATATATATAAATAGATGAAGGACCGTCGTAAACATTCCCGCTAGTATCGGCTGTTGCGTTCGCTCTGAGAATGCAGTGTGTATGTGTGTTACGTGTGTCCGTCTGACGTGTTTCTGAAAGCAACGATGCATGAAGTCGAAGCATACGAATTTCTCTTCCATCTACTTGCATTGAGTTTGTTTCAGGCTAACTCTTCCCGTTAGAGTGATTTACTGACCTTTAACGTCACTTTATTTTTTTTATTAAAGTGTGTGTTGAGCAATGTGTTTTCCATTTTCTGGTACTTTGTTTTTCAGTACCTCATTGAGGGAGTCTCTCTCACACACACTCACACACAGCCATGAGGCTTATGTCAGGACGCCAGACCTCCATCTTAAATGTGTTCAGCAGGACTACACACACACACACACAGGAAGCGTTAAACTCCAGACAGACATTCAGACTCTAGCAGACACACATGAAGTACGTGAGAGGTTTGAAACCCAATTCCTCTCATTCGCAAATCATCTGTTCTTTCTTCTTCACCTCCGTCGTTGGCTGAGCTCCTCCTCCTCTTCGCTCCACCATCTGTTCACGCTCTCGTCTCTCTTTCGCTGATCTCCATTCTCCTTTAGCAGAGTTACCCTGAGTTTGAGGGACTCGTCGTTTCTGTTCTCAGAAGATCTTTAGGAAAGAGTGTGTGTGTGTGTTGGCAGAGAGTTTCTCCTCAGTCCTTAAGGGAATGAGGCACATGACGGGGTTGTGTGTGACTCATTGTCTCTCTCTCTGCTCCAGTCGTCTGTTTCACACACATGGACTCCAGATGTTTCTGTCTTTACTCTGCAGATCAGAGGCGATCCTCAAATATCAGCAGGAGAAACTCTTTCAGCCTCTCGGTCTGAAGCAGATTCTGGCCTGAATCTCGTTTAACCCGCCAAGAAAATGTCTGCCCCACATTTCACCCCCAAACCAAAAGGAAGTTTTATTTTCAGTAATGTAGAGTTTAAGCTTCTTTTAGAACATTTAAAGTGTTTTTGCATTATTTTTCATTCCCGTTTTTATGGTGCAGAGAAAAAACAGCTTCTTTATTGGCATTTATGGTTGCACGAAGAACCTTTAACAACAATTGCACAAAAGGTTTTTGGGATTGTAATACTTTAAAAAGTGGTGTAAGAACGGTTCGCTGAAAGATTCTTTGGGAAACAAAAGTGAAGGCACTTTTTTTGAGTGTATACCAATTTGAATGAATAAATCTTAAAGGGTTAGTTCACCCAAAAATGAAAAATCTGTCAGTATTCACTCACCCTCATGTTGTTCCAACCCCGTAAGACCTTCGTTCATCTTCGCAACACAAATTAAGATATTTAAGATATTAAGATCGCTCCTGCATACTAGTCCATAGGCTTCTTGAGGGAATGACTCTTCAAAGACATCGTTAAAATAGTCCAAGTGACTACAGGGGCTCAATCTTAACTTTATCAAACGACGAGAACACTTTTTGTGCGCAAAAACAACAAAAATAACGACTTTATTTCAACTATTCACTTCCTTCTATCTCTGCGTGAGTCAGGTTACTAGTTTAATAGCGTAAGCTTCTGTTATTGTACGTCACTTGCATCAAACACATGACCAGCGTCGGCCAATAGTGAGCCTACGTGTAACGTAGCTCTACGCAATCACACTACGTTAACTGACTACAGGCCCATGGAGAAGGAAGTGAATAGTTGAAATAAAATCGTTCTTTTTGTTTATTTTTGCGCACAAAAAGTGTTCTCGTCGCTTGATAA